AATGCAGACAGCAGGTCTGGACTGAGCCTGACCACCTGACCACCTGAGAACCCTGGACTGGATCATTGTTGACCTCGAGTTTCATGTATTCCTAGAGGTCTGTTGGGAACCAAGAGAGAAATCAGTCAGTCAACCAACCAACCAATCAACTAGTCAATCCAGAAAAGAGAGGAAGAAGAGGGCGGGGATGGAGACAGGCAAGAAGGTGAACTAGGAGAGGAGATGGAGAGAGGTGGAGGATGGGGACGCAGAGGGAGAGGAGAAAGAGAGTGAATGGAGAGACAGAGACAGACAGAGGGGAGAGAGAAGGCACCAGGGGGGATGGGGTGGTTCTGTGGGGACAGTCCTGAGCAGCGCCAGTTCCAAGAATCCCACAGCAGGGCACTAGATTTCCCCGACAGTTGTGGAGGGGCTCTGAGGGGTCACCAGGAAACGTGAGCACAGCTTGCAGCTGTTGACAGAGGTGGTGGGAAGATCTCTGCCCCCCGCCCCCTCTGCCGGGTTCAAGGCTTCAGTGGCTGGGAAAGAGCCCCCTTCCTTGCATCTTCACAGACCAAATCAGTTCAGGACTCCTTGCTTACCTGATTGGGTTGGCTACTCCCAAGGGCTCTCCTGGACATAAGGGCCACCTTTTCCTGTATCATCACTATACAGTGTTAAGGCACAGGAAGCAGGGAAGGCTGGAGGTGGCCAGGAAAGGTGGCCATGTCAGTCCCAGTGGAGTCTAGGGCTCCACTTTATGTTATTCAGAATTTCAGCCCTGACATGTGGTGGCTCTAGGGACCCTCTCCATCAGGATGGACCACTGGGCCATTAGCGGATGGACTGTCAGTCACACAGAGCAGAAGAGGGCCCACCTATAGGACTTCTTCAGCTGAAAAATGAGGGCATGGGAGCAGAAGATCATACCTACAGCTATTATGTTGAGCGCCCATTATGTGTCCTACTCCTTTTGTAGGCATTCTAGGACCCATCCTGACCTGGCCACACTGGCTGCTCCAATCTCAGCCCCTGCCAATTCTCACCACTCCCTGTCTTCAACCTCAGTAGCCTCGTAGATGCCAAGCCCATTGCCACCCCAGAGCCTTTGCATGTGCTCTTCCCTCTGCAGAATGTCTCCCCCTGGTCTTTGCATGACTGGCTCCTTCTTGCCATTCATCCACATCACCTGTCTCAAGTAGCTTCCCAGTCACTTGCCATTCTGTGACCCACTTTTTTATTTTTTGTCACTCCACTCTTGGCAGCCCCCAACATGTGCAGTCCATTAAAACAGGGACCTTGTCCTTCTTTGTCTTGGGTATCCCACTCCCATCCCTGTGTCTTGCTCAGTGCCTGGCATACATAGGTACTGTGTGTCTATTTGCTGAACAGAATGAGTGAATGAATGAATAATTGAATGAATGAATAAATGAAATGCAGCTAAAGCATTGGTGCTTAATTCATGTTATTTCATGTAGGTATTATGAATACTTACTTTCCCTGGTACTGGGGGGATATTACGGTCGGCCTCCTACACATGAGAAGACCCAGGTTCTCAGAGATGAGGTCCCATAGCTGGGACCCAGACCAAGGACTCTGCCCCCAGAGTCCTCTGTCTTTCCATTACCCCAGGCTGCCCCACCCTTTGCTGAACCAAGAGGAGGCCCAGGCAATGAGGAAGTGGGAGTTGTTATTGTATTTAGATGGGGAGATGGTGGTTCAGGGTCAGTCACCAGCTCCTGGCTGGTGGAACTCAGCACTGCCACCCACAGGCCTTTGGTGATGACCTCCCTGAATGTTCTGGTTCCCACCCTCTGCAACTCTGTGATTCCGGGAGGCCCAGGGCAGGGCTGGGAGCAAGTGGCTGCTGTGTTGTCCCCCCACCGCCCCCAGCAGCTGGGTCCTGTAGGAGCCAGGGACAGATGCCCAGTCTGAATAAGGTGCTGGGGCATGGGGGAGAGCGCTGCCCTCAGAACCATTTTGGGCTTACTTTCCAGCCAGACCTTGAGAGAGGGGGGAGGGGTGAGGGGTGAGGGTAAAGGCCTTTCCTGATTTCTCCCTGGTGGTACAGGGTAGTTTGAGGCCTCCCGCCCACAGGATAGAGGCTCCTTGTCTTTGTGGGCAGCAGAAAAGCACCATGTGTGCCCGGAGCTTGCAGGGATGGGCTTCATGTGTCCCCTGTTGGCGGTGGCCTGCACCTCTGGGAGCCACTGAACTGAGGTTTATCATGGTCAAGGGGCAAGATCATGGCCTTTAGAGCTACCCAGGTATGGGTTCAAGTCCTAGCTCTGCCACTTACTGGCTATGTGATGTTAGGCAAGTCATGCAATTCTCTGAGCCTCAGTTTCCCTATCTGTACAGGGAGAGCACTTAGCAAAGTGCCTGGTCACAGGAAATCAAGCAAGAGGCGCCATCTCCTCACCATCTGGCCACACTCTGACTTTGGGCACACTGTCCTCACCTTGCCCTCCCTTGCCCCCTGGACAAAGGCCTCATTCTTCTGCATGGATGAAGCCTTCCCAGATACCGCAGAGGGCTGGTCAGCCCTGGCTTCTCTGGTGGGAGCTCTGGAGTGAGGGGGCTGTGAAGGTCCGTGTGTGTGCGTCGAGGACCCAAGCTGTGTCTCGTTCATCCGTGTCCCCAGCGCCCAGCGCAGGACTCAATGCAGAGCAGGAGCAAAAGGGAGAGCACTTGAACAAATAGATGGGAGAGGAATTAAAAATAGGAATGAATTAATGAGGAGGAAAAGAGGGAGGATGGAAAGAAGAACACAGGAGAGGAAGGAAGGAGGGAAGGAAACGGGAAAGGAGAAATGAGAGAGAAGGCAGAGGGGGAAGATGAGTTCAAGGCTGTGTCCCCAGGCCCCCACCCCCTGCTCAGCGCTGACACCTCGGAGCCTGTCCCCTCTCCCCTGCCTGCTCCTTCCTGCCTGCTCCTTCCTGCCTGTCACTCCACTGAGAGCTTCAGCTGCCTCAGCCTCCCACAAAATATTCATTGTTCTCTTGCCTGCTCGGCTCCGTCTCTCCCTGCCTCTTAGGTGCCAGAAATGGTGGAATTATCAGAGGTAAAACATGTCTGTCACCAGGCCTGGTGAGCGGGGTTGCTACCACCGGCTGATTCATCAAAAGACGCTCCTCTTCCCGGGGCAGGGCTTAGGGTACACAGGCTGACTCAGGCCTGACTGTGTCTTCCCCAGAGGACTCAGGGAAGGTGGCAAAGACTATGGAAAGGAACAGTCCCTGGGGCTGGAGCATCCTTGGCTGGGGTGGGGGGCTCGGAGTGCTGGAGGGGGTCCGGGGGAGGGTGCACAGTGAGCTGGGCGTCCTGGAGGAACCCTATGGGCAACTCCTTGAGCACAATGTGGGGCTGCTGGGATCTTGGGATGGGCTTGTGCTCGGGGCAGGGGACAGACTCTCCAAAGGGGGCTGGAGACAGGCTGAGAGAGCAGGAGAGAGTTAGAACTACAGGCTGAGGGACTGAGGCCAAGAATCTGAAAGGGGGCTGAGGCCTGAGCCCGCCCAGGTGTGTAACGATGGCCACAGGGAGTCCAGCTACTAGATGTTGTTTACTGTGCACCCACCCTGTGCCAGGCCTCGATGGGTGTTCTAGAGGCCCTGTCTCATTATATCCTCACACTAGGCATCATCACCATCCCTATGTGAGGAAACCACAGCACAAACAGGTCAAGGAAATCATCAAGCCCACGAGGACAAACTGTCAGAGTCAAGATTTGAACCAAGGACTGACAAACCCTGTTGTCTCCCTGTCAAAGCTCACTTTAAAAAAATGATGTATTAATCTTTCTAGAATATAATAATCCATGCTAGCTGTAGGGATTTGGAAAGTAGGTTTCAAAAAAGAAGGCAGAATTTATTCTAAGCCAAGGTTTTTTTCTTCTATGCCCTTACAAAAAAACCCATACAGCACACACCACTTGGCAACTTGTTTTTCCTACTTAGCACCAGAGCATAAGCAATTTCCTAGGTGAGAAACAACTCCCAGTAAGTATAATTGTTAATGATTTTCGCAATATTCTCGTAGGGGGTATGTGCCCCAATTTCCTTAGCCGTTCCTTAATAGCCAAAACATGGACTCCCAAGTCTTCCGTGTTATAAGCAACATGGATGCATTTCTTTGTGCTCAAGCTTCCTCCTGACTTCAGGTGATTGTCTGAGCCTAGATCTCTGGAAGGGGAATGATTGGACCAAAGGAAGGCCGGTTTTCCAGAGGCAGGTAGATGGGAAGGGGATTGAGGTTCCAGGCAGTCTGCCCCAGGAAGGGTGGTTTCTTTCCAAGGGAGACCAACTCATGAGGGAGGCTGGCTTCCTTTGGACTAATGTGTCCCTGATTTCCGGCCATGGGAGTGAGACCTAAAACAGAGGTTTGATGATTCCCCTTTGTTTCTCAATCCTCTCTGTGGAGCTGGTGGGTAGTTGTTTGGGGAGACCTTCATGTAGTCACTTAGTTACTGGAGGCATCTACCAATTCAGAGATCTTTGGGATCATCCCATCCATCCCTCCCCATATTCACACAGGTGTGTGTGTGTGTGTGACAGGTGGGGTCCCAGCAAGGACAGGTAACTTGGGGGTCACTCTGCCTGATAGTAACTTTGCTGCAGCCAGAGGCAAGCCCAGTCTGTTGTTCTTCCCATGATGCTAGATGCTTCTCATTTTTTGATTCCAGGCCATATAATTCTACACCCTGAGCATAGTGAATAACAACCGCTGGTATCATGGTTACCATGGTAACGTTGGCCCCAAATGTTCTCCCAGAGGGGCTGGGAGTGGGGCTTGGGCTGTGAGAGACCTAAGGCTGGGTGCGGCCTGACCTGGATGGGGCCAGAGTCCACTGGTGTCTCAGGCCTGAGGGATGACATCACCCCTAATGCCCTCAAGGAAGCCCCAGGGCTGGGCCTGGAGCAGGGACCGTCACCAGTGATATTCCAATTTGGTGTTGATGTTACCCGCGGAAAGAGAAGCAGGATCCATGTTTCAGATTTTTTTCTTTTTTTTTAAGACCAGAAAATGAGAGACACAGCTGAGTCCTGGAGCAGATGAGCCACATAAGCAAGGAAGCGCCACTGGAGAGAAACCGTGTCAGGCCCTTTTGAAGTTCCGGGGAGGGAAGAGAAGTGCTGGTGAGTGACAGGTGTTGGTTTGTTCTGGAGAAACAACACAGAAAAGTGCCCTGAGAGAGGGGTAGGCCCAAAATGGGGTTCCAGGGATGGAGGGGCTCCCAAGACACAGTCCTGGGGCTCACAAGGCAGGATGAGCTCCAAATTCTGCTCCCCAGGTGTCCCCAGAGCCCTTATGCATGGGGGAGGGGAGGGGTTACCTGGGCTGAGGCTGCAGAAGAGGGAGGTGCTGTCACAGGGGAGGATGGGGGCAAGCGAGGCCCTAAGAAGAAGGTGGGCCAGAAGACTCCAGGGTCCAGGGACTGAGGGGAGGTGGTCCACAACTTCCTGCTATCCTCAGTTATCCCTCTGCTCCCCTCCATTCCCTGCTCCTTGCCTACCTCCCTCTTCCCCAGTCTGTCCCCCCCACCCTCTGCCCTTGCTTTCTTCCTTCTCTCTTCCCCTTCCTTCTTCCTCCCCTGCCCCTCTCTCCCTCTCCTCTCCCTCCTTTCTCTCCTGTCTCCTGTTCCCCACCAGGTGACTGGAAATGCAGCAGTCCTCAGCCCCCCTACAGCAAAGCCAACCTGAACTTTACACATACACACATAGACACACATACATTCAACCGCGTAGGCTCTTCTTGCCTCCTAGTCATCACCTGGGCCTGCCACTGTTTGCTCAGGGAATCTAAACAGCAGCCCAGAGCAAACAAAAGTGAAAAGGAAAATCTATTGCTAAAATCCAAGGCTAAATAGACATGCACCTGGGACAGCATTTCCCAGACTGTGGCCTGTGAACTCCAGGTCCTCCAGGTGGGGGCTGTGGTCCAGTGACGAAGCTATAGTGCAGCCTTTGGAGCACACCAGCCACGTGACCTTGGGCAAGTATGTCATCCCTCTGTGCCTCAGTTTCTCTTTCTGCAAAATGGTAATAATGTATCTGCTTCATGGGTGGTTGTGAAGATTAAGTGCCCTAAAATGGGAAGATCTTAGAATAGCTCCTGGCTTATGAGAAGGGCTATATATGTAGTGTGTGTATTTATAAAACCATTAGCTGTTCCTATAGGTGTTCCAGGGAAGGACGTTTGAGAAACACTGAGTACTTCTTGCCTACCATCTTGGAAATAATTAACACACAACAGCGCATCAGAGGGCCCGGAAGTCCTACAGCAGAGAGATCTGTTCAACTTTGTTTACCTTCATAATTCTCAAACTTGTTTTTACTGTAGTATTTTCCCCTTCCTTCTTTGGAGGCACAAAACACCTATCTCTTGGGACACGCCCACTTTGGAGGGTCACAGTTTGAGAAATGCTGGCTTGGGATTATTCACTGTTTGGAGACCATGGTGAGTGAGGTAGAGGTAGAAAGCATTATCTGAGTCAACAAGAAGATCGAGTCAAACCCCAGCTTTACTCTGCCAGCCACAGAGCCCAGGAAATGGTGCGGTCAGGCCCCAAGCAAGGAAGTGGCTTGCCCAAGGGAGAGACTCAAGACTGATTCACAGGACCCCCCAGTCCAGGACTCTTCCATTTCCTTCCTTGCTTCTCCCTCAATGCCAAGTAAAAGCAGGAAGTCCTATTTTGGGGGGAGGAGGCGTCCCTCATCTTTGAGACTGGTGGGAGTCTCCGCCGCTGCTCCCCATTGGCTTTTCATGTCCTGCAAGGCTTGGGCCACCGTGGCCACGAAGAACATATGCTTTCCTCCCAACCAAGAAGAAGGAGGAGGTAAGAAGTTCCCACTCTTCTCTCCCCACTGAAAAGAGTAAGAGTAAAAGAGCTAAACTTCCTGCACAGGCTGAGTGACCAGGCACTTTTGAGAGAGCCTATGCGTGTGCCCCTGTCCCTGGTGCTGAAACGTGTCTGGCCCCTGGGTGGTGGTCCCTCAGCCCCAGACCCGGCTGGAAGAACGGCTGCAGAATCTCTTGGGGGAGAATCCACCAATACTGTGATTCCCAGGCCTTGCACCTTATCTGCTCAGTCAGAATCTCCTGGGGTCAGGAGCCAGCCTCCTCATGTTTGGAAATCTTCCGAGGGGTGGTTTGGGACCCCTGTACCTTAGGGAGCATTTGTGTACCCCAACCCTAGCCTGCTTCTCCCATGGATCAGTGTTTTTCAGTGATATTATTTTCTGAAAACAATTTGTAATTTTGATACTCTCACAGAAAAAAATAAATCATTTTATATGTTTTATATTAATGGAGCAGATTTTATGGGGGGTTGGCAGTTCTATTATGTTTACAGCGTAGCCATTTTTTTCCCCCACTTGGAGCTTGAGGGTGCATATACCCTCCTGAGTCCATATGTGTGGTGCTCTGAAGTCCACTCCATTCTTTCCCTCGGGCTGCAGGCCTGGCAATTTAGGGCGCTAGAGCGGATTTAATTATGTTTCTGTGTTCTCTGTCCCCATGTTGCAATGCTCCAGGCATCAGTGAGATGCCTCTAGTGTGGTATTTACTCTTTCAGATACTTCTCTTTCCCTCTGGGACCCTGAGGACGATCCTCAGTGGAGAAACGGTCGCATTAGACATTCTACCAAGAAAGATGCCAGCAGGATGGGGCCAGACAGCTTCCCCAGCCTCTGATGACCCCCTTGGGCTCTAATGCTATGGGAGAGGGCGGATCTGACCCTTGAAGCCCTCATCACCTCTAACTTCGCGGATGCCAGAGTGGCAGGCTTTGAGGCTGTGAGGAGGTATAGAGTAGTGATCACAATTACAGGCTCGGAGTCAGGCCTGGGTTCAAAGTCTGGTTCTGCTTTTGTTGCCATGTGATCTTGGACAAGTTGCTTTCACTTCCTGGGCCTCAATTGCCTGAAGTGTGACATATGGACAGCTCTGTCCATGCCTTAGCAGGGTTGGTGTAGAGATATGGGAGGAAATGGACATCAAGGTGTCATCCTTCAAGTCATCATAAGTTTTTCTATCATACAAATTAATCTCTACCCAGATAATGGCAGCAAACTTAAGGAGGGCATTTGCACATTAATGCGATATTCTTGGTGGTCTACACACTTCCATTTCTCTCCCCCTCCCCTGGAAATCAAGTTCTAAGAATGAAGTTGAAAGTACATGTTTGGGGTCATGGAAGAGCAGGGTTGTGTGTCCAGGCAGAGTATTGGTCACTGTCCCCTCAGAGTATTGGTCATTGTCGTGCTCTAAGGCATCTTCTTGAGGTACCTCTAAAGGGCAGTCCAGTCCAGAGGAAGAAAGGAAGCTGTCCCAGGGGTTGGAGAAGGTCATTGAGTTATCCCAGGCCCGGGCGTGGAAGCCTTGGGCCAGTGTGGGCCTGGAGCTGCTCAGGTCTTAGGGTTGGGCGGAGGGGAGAAAAATCAAAAGTCACAAACTGGGGGCCCCTTTACCCTGTTTGGACAGATGAGAACATGGAGGCGCAAGGGGATCCAGAGACTCGCTCAGGGCCACAGGGTTAGTTGGCAGCAGAAGCAACGGAAAGAAACTGGTGTCCTTTTCATTGCACCACATGGCCTCCTGGGCATGGTGCGGAGTCCAACTGCTGCGTCTGTCTAGAGTAAAAAAGACCAGACTCCTGGGGACCTGGGTTGGTTTCTAGGAAGGTGGATTAGATTGGCTCTGTGTGGCCCCAGGGAGAAGCCGCAGTGCTTAGGTGTTGGAAATATAGATTTTGGCATCAGAGAGACTGAAATGTGAACCCAGGCTCTGCTGTTCTCTGTTGCTATGAGCTTGACCTCTGCGAGACTCCGTTTCTTCACCTGGGTGGTGGGACTAATGGGACACACTACCTTAGTGATGTTGTGAGTCACAGAGCCAGTGGCAATGCGTATGATCTGTCTGTGCATATGCTAAGATGCTCCGTGAGAGCAAAGAGGTGATGGTACGGCCAGAAGTAGCCGAAATTGTGTGTGTGGACGTCCAATGTCGGAAGGAGCTGCCTCATCACCAGAGGTGAGCAACCCCTGGTGGGGATACCACCGAGAGGATTCAGGCATCTGCTGGAGAAACGAACCAGTGCCTCTGATGTTCTGTGAAGCCCACTCTCCCCCTTCTCAATTCCCTGGCTCCTGCTCACCAGGGGCCTCTGTTTTCCAAAGCAGCAAGCAGCCTGCATGGTAATTACTTTTGGACTTATTAAGCATAATTATCCCCTAATCGCATACAACCAGTAATTATGGTGGCCGTTACCAGGGGCCTACCCATGCAGCACCACCCGCGGCCCTGGGGTCCAACACCCAGCTGGGGCCTGAGGATGGCCTGGTGTTCCCTGCCCAGGGGTTGGGGGGTGCTGGCCTGAGACGGGGCTGCTGCATCCCCCACCGGGTGCTCCTGCAGCCTGGGCACCCCGCTGGTGAAGAGTTGCTCACATATGACAGTCCCAGGGCCACTCCAAGCTCCAGCCAGGCCACACGCTCCCCACCCTGTTAATGCTTGCCCGAGCCACCCTGCATCTGCCCATGCTGTTCCCTCCTCTTTTCCTCTTCCTTTCCTCCAACCAACCACCCTCTCCTCTTCCCTTCCTTCAAATATTTTTGAGACTCTTTTATGCTCTTGACACTACTCTAGGTACTAAAGTTACAGCAGTGTTGGGAGCAGGGGACAAAAGCCATGCTTTCATGGGATTTAGAGTCTATTTGGGGGAGAGAGAGAGACAAAGAAGAAAATGGGTAAGTTATGCTCTTAGAAGAGGTTGAGCGCTGCGAAGGAATAGAAGGCAGAGTGATGAGGATGAAGATGAGGGAGGGGTTAGAGAAAGTCATAGTTTTAATGGGATGGCCAGGGTTGGTCTCACGGGGAACGGCACACTTGAACAAAGACTTGAAGGAGGTGATGGGTTAACCTGTGATGATATGTGGGGAGAGAATGTTCAAGGAAGAGGGAGCACCTAGTGTGAAAACTCTGAGGTGGGAAGAGCCACAGCTGAGGAGGGGGTGGTGGCTGGGGCAGAGTGGAGGTGGGGGTGGGGGAGGAGGTCAGCGCCAAAAGGGAGCAGTGGAGGGAAGATTGCTGGCACCTGGTGAGCCATTTAAGGATGTCAGTTTTCCTCTGAATCAAACATTTGAGCAGAGGAGCGGCCTCCTCTGGCTAGTGTTTTTGTGTCTCTGTCCACAAAGACATGGGGGCAGGGGTGGGGGGAGCCCAGTGAGCAGGGGCAGTTGCAACAATCCAGGTGGGAAATGGTGGGGGCTTGGCCCGGGAGCTGGGAGGAGTGGGAGGATTCCAGAAATATTTTCAAGGTAGAGAGAACAGGATTCCCTACTAGGAGGGGAGAGAGGCATCAAGGATGACATCCAGGTTTTTGGTCTCAACAACTGGAAGGAGGGAGTTGCCACTTAGCAAATGGGAAAGACAAGGGTGAATCAGGTTTCTGAGGAGGGCAGGTGCTCGGTTGGGGATGTGTTAAGGTCTTGGTTATCAGAGAGACGTGCTAGTCTGGGATTCAGAGGAGACAGGTCTGGCTGGGGCATGATTGTGGAAGCCCGCCCTCCCCTCTTCGGATTTATCCCTGTCCTTCCCTGTCCCCCACTCTCTTTTTCTCTCTCCTCAGGGCTTTTTGTGTCTTCCTCCGTGTCTCTCTCCCTCGGCCTCCTTTCCTGGGCCTCGGCCTCCACCCCTCCCTGCCCAGCGCCGCAGGGGGTGAGGCCCCAGGGGTGCCGGGATCTCCTGCAGCAGAGGCGCCAGCCAATCTCCCGACGTCTTGGAAGCAGCTTATGGGCCAAAGGGCTGCGCCTCCTGCCCGCATAATGCGCTCCAATATTTATTTACATGCGGGCCAGACTATTATTTATTAAGGTATCGCTGCCAGCTGTGCGTGGGCTAATTGTTCTTAATGTGCCCCCTCCGGGTGCCCACGGCGGCAACGCCTTCCTGGCAGCGGAGCCAGCGTGGCTCGGAGCGGGGAAACCGAGGCCCGAGCGCGCGGAGGGTGCTGGGAGTGCGGGTGACCGCGGGGTGCGGGCGACCGCGGGGTCCGGGCGCGGAGAGAGGCCAGTGCGCAGCGCAGAGGGTGCTGGGAGCGCGCCGCCGAGAGGTGGGGACACGGGAGCGCGGGCCGGGGGTCGCGGAGCTCTCGCCTGGAGCGCAATGCGGAGTCTTGGAGCGGGTGGGGGACCCTGAGCGCAAGGGACGGTGCAGGGAAGACGGGGGGGGGTGTCTTCTAGCAGGTGAGGGACCCCGAGAGCGAGGGGCCGTGCAGGGGACCCAGGTGGGGGGTCTTGGAGCGGGTGGGGGACCCCGAGCGCGAGGCCTGGCGGGAGTGAGTTTTGGACGCACGACGCTTGGGCCTCGCGCGGCTCGCCCGGCAGTGGGCGGACGGACGGACCACCGCGGGGCCCCGGGAGGGGGCCGTCGCCTCCCCCCACCCCACCGCGTAGGCGGCGGCTTCGCCTCGCCTGGTTCTCCCGACGTCAGCAGCAGCCGCCGGAGCCGGAGGGAGCGGTTTAATTGGCAGGATTTTAGGTTAAGGACAGATGTGGCTTCGCCGGGTTTGGAGGCAGGACGCGCGCGGGGGGGGGGGGGGTGGGGGGGGGGGAGGCTGAGTAGTTGCTGGACGGAGAGGGGAGGGGAGCGGGTAAAATAGACTGAGAGAGACCCCGGCTGGGCGCCCCTAGAGAGAAGAGACAAGGCAGAGGTGGGCGACAGTTGGGAGCTAGAAGCAGATGAAGAGGGACGGCAAATACAGCTGGGGAAGAACCGAGGCGACGTGGAGGCTGCAGAGACAGCCGGGAGAGGGCGCTGGCGCTCTGACCTTCCCCTTGCCTGGGACCCCCCCCCCCATTAGCACAGCGCCTCCCAGGCGGCCGTCTTCGTTGCGGGAGGGGCCAGCTTGGGGACATTGATTCATTTAATTTTATTACTGGTACGGTGGGTACAGTGTCTGCCCATTCCCAGGCCTTGTTGGTGTCACCCAGAAAGTTCTCTCCTGCCTGGGAACTGCAGCTTAAGAAAACCCAGGGAACCCTGCCCTGCCCCCTAGCCCTCCCCCCCTCCCCCCCCCAGCACCTTGTAAAGGCTGACTTCAAGCAGGCATCCTAGCAGCCCCGTGGGTCCCCCTCTGAGCGGCACGGGGCCAAGCACATTTCTTCCTGTGAACAGCGCTGAGGGAGGGATGGTGACAGGCCAACGCTGGATGGAGTAGCCCAGAAACTCGCATTTTCCACCACTCAGGGCCAAACCTCTCATTGATGGTGGTTGTAATTTCATCAGGCCTCTGGCCCTGAGGGACAGTGTTGTGCTGGCCGCGGAGCTTTCTGGAATGGCATCCAGTGGATCTGTGGGGTCGGTGGTTACTCTGCAGGTTCCCAGGCTTCCAGAGCTCATGTCTCCACCCCTGGACCAGCTGTGGCCATGCAGGACGCTGCCACCTGCATGCAGGGGCCTTGTGGCCCAAGGGAAGAGTCCTTGTCTCCAGGAGAGCTGACACAACCTCATGGGCATCCCCCACCCATGGATGTTCTGGAATGTTCTGAAGTCTGGAACCAGGATGGTAAAGGCACCACCGGGGAGTTATCCAGCCCTCCTCCCTCATTCCCCAGATGGGGAATCTGAGGCCCAGAGTCTGTGTGCTGGAATGACCTGGGCTTTCATGGAGGGACCATTGGCGAGGGGGCTGTGGACGGTGCCTGCCCTATCTCCTTATTTCAGCATCAGGGCAGCTGGGTTTTACTACAAAGTGGGGAGGGCAGCAAGATTCATTTTCTGTGTGCCCAGCCTTCTTTCCAGCTCTGCTCCCCGTCACCTCGTGCTCTCTGCTGCCCTAGGACTCAGTTTCGCCGCCTAAGTATCTAGCTTGTGGGAATGATCCTCACCCACACACCTGACAAGGGCCTTCCCGAAGACCTCCCCTTAGAGTAGCTGTAATGTAGGATCTTTAGACCCAACAAGGGCAGGCCTGGGGGGACCTGAGTGACCTGGGTCCAGGCCGCATCGCTTCCTGGGCCTCAGTATTTTCATCTGTAGAATGGGGCAGGGTAGACATTTGGAGGTTTCTGAGCACCCTTTCTAGCTCTGATAGCTCGGGACTGCCCAGTAGGAGGAGCAGCTGGGACCTGGGTCAGGTGGGTCAGGGCCCATCTGCTGCTTCCCTTCCTTGGGGCAGGAGTAGAGGGGGTGATGGGGACAAATAGCAGAGAAGAGGCAAAGCTCTCTGGCCCCCAGGAACAGCATGTGCTATACAGGAGGAGCATTTGTTACCCATTCTCCTGTGCCTGGAGCCTCCTGGTCCTCCGCTGCCTTCTGGGGAGGGACAGGAAGAGTGGAGCTGTACTTGCCTCCTGGGGGGTGGGGTGGGGAGGAGGGGACTTAGGCGGCAAGGGGGCAGTGAACCTGTGGCCCCAGCAGCTGAGCTCGGCAGAGCAGAAGAAAATGAAAAGCTTGGTATCAAATGTTCCCTGCCCCTGCGTGGCCTAGCCGCCCTGGCCTGGTGGGAGCTAGCACCCAGGAGATGTGGGGTGAGTGAACCAGTGGGGCAGTGTGTTGAAGGAGAGAGATCTGGCCCTAGGGTTGGGCGGACGTGGGTTTGGATCCTTCCCCACCTGTTTCTAGCTGGGGGACCTTGAGCAGATTAATTAATGTCTGTGAACTGGGGTTTTCTCACCGGAAACACCAAAAAGCTACTTCATAGAGTTGTGAGGAGCCCATGAGAGGCATCAATGGAAAGACCTTAGAAAATGGCTGACATTTAGGACTCCCCAATTTAAAACTTCTGATTATTTTTATTAAAGAGAGGACTGGCTCACCCTCTAAGTGTGCACTTCAGCCTACATGTTCTGAGCATCTAGGAGGTTTCAGACACTGCAGAAGCCCGGTCTCTGCTCTCAGGTTGCTTGTAGTCTGATGGGGGAGACACACAGCCCTGAAATACCACCTAGAAGTGCTGGTAACAGCCATTACCTGGAGGACAAAGGACTGTGGGAGAGGTCCAGTCAGCCCTGGGGGTACAGGTCAAGGAAGGCTTCCTGGAGGAGGTGGGCTGCACACTGAGCTCTTGGTAAACATCCAACTTGGCAGAGAAAACATGGCAAGGACATGAACAGCTTGCTTAGGGGACACTTGGAATCCAGCCTGTGTTCCTCTGTCACCTGTCGGAAGGTTGTCTCTACCAGCCCGAGGAAAGCAGCATCCTCCCCACCCTAACACTCCCTTTCCCCTAACATTGCTTCATTTTTCTGCCTTTTGCCTTAATGTATGTTTCCTTGATTTTGTGTTTCTTGTCTGTCTCCGTGAGAACATCAGCTCCACGAGTGCAGCATTATGGGCGCAGTTGTGCCCCTCACTCCCAAATTCCTGTGTTGAACTCTGAACCCCTAGGACTCAGAACGTGACCATATTTGGAGATAGGATCTTTCCAGAAGTGATCAAGTTAAAATGAGGTCATTGTGGTGGGCCCTGATCCAATATGCCTGGGGTCCTTGGATAAAGGGGGAATTTGGAGACAGTCGCGTCCCAGAGCCAAGGCCATGTGAAAACTGGGGTGGGGTCTGCTGCCACAAACCGGGGAAGCCCCAGCAGCTGGGAGAGGGGACCAGACCCTTTCCTTGAAGTGCTCAGAAGGAACCAACCCTGCCCACACCTTGCTCTTGGACTTCTAGCCTCCAGAACAGGAGACATGGCATTTCCTGCTCTGTGGTCCTTTGCTACGCAGCCCTCTCCGGCCGCCGAGGCCGAAGCTGTTGGGTCATTGCGTGGCCCCGGTCACTAGGGGGCACCAGCCACAGTTCACGCATGGACTGCCCGTGCTTGAGACACGTGTTGGCGAGGGCCACATCCTGGGTGCTGGCCCGCGTGGAATGGGGGGACCTACAGAGCCAGGGCCAGCGTGTGATGCAAACAGGGGGTCTGGTGTCTTCAATCCCTCTCGAGTCTCGCCTGCCCGCTCTCTGTTCTTTCCCGGAGTGGTGATCTTTCCTCTGATCCAACCCTTCTTTCTCCCGCCCAGTGTGCAAAGCTCAGGGGACTTGGGGGCATCTCAGATCTCCCTGTGGGGGCGGGGGAGGAGGGCCGTCTTCAGACTGAGTATTGTCTCCCCACAGGGTCCTGAGACAGGTGCCACCGGAGCTGCACAAGAGTTGCCTCAGAGAGCACACAGTCTGATGGAGGAGACAGAGCCCCATTTGGAAAACCCCTGGTCAGATGGAGGAGATAGGATCTGTGCCCCTGAAGAGCCTCCAGTCTGATCAGGTCAGGGAGGGCTTCCTGGAGGAGGTGGGCTGCACACTGAGCTACACAATCCTGCCCTGGGAGAGACCAGCAAGTATGGCTGGGAGCTCCCAGTCTGATGGGGGAGACAGAACACGCATATGTAGACACTAGTAAATATCCCGTAAGAAGCTGCTGCTGGGAGGAGGCCTGGGAAGGCTTCCTGAAGGAGGAGGGCTCTCACGGAGTCTGGAGAAGGAGGGGTACTAATAGGGTGGCCAGGAGGAGGAGTGGGCAGGGCAGGGAAGGCCCAAGTAGCCGCCTCCTTTCCAGTTCCAGGGGAGCTAGCCCAGTGCCTGGACTCACGGGTGAGTACGTGACCGGCACAGCCTTTCAGTGGGCTTCCTAGCCATCACGAATCACCCATTTTTAGCAGGGAAAAAAGGCTGTTGACAGGGGACAGGAATAGCTTCTGAAGCCTCCCTTCATCCCTGCCGCTGCGCTCCCCTTTCCCCGAAACGTCTCTGCAGGCCCGGGCCTGGAAGGCAGTGCACGCCCACAGCGCCCTCTGCTGGAAGGCATCAGACAGCACCGCAGGCTCTGCGTGCCAAGGCATTTGTGCGAACAGCCCCGCATTCCGGCTCTGTGGAAGCCCCAGATTCTGAGGTCAGGAGTGAAAGATAGGCGGGAACTGGGTCAGTACCTGAGAGGGTCCATATCTGCAACCTGCAAGATCTTGGAGCTTAAGATCTACTTGGAGTGGCTGAAGGAGCCACCAAAGACAACAGCCCCACCCAGCCCAGAGCTTACTGGAGGCTCAGGAGCTCTGAGTATCCAGGGCCCCGCCTCCCCCCAGGCTAGGAGGGGACCTTCTCCCAACGGATGACCTATGTCTCATTATATCGAAGAGGATGTGTCCCTTTCTTTCTCCAACCCTGGATCTGGGGTGGCTAGACTTCAGGTGAGTGGTCTGGATGCTTCCAGAAGGAATTCATCATTGGGAGATTCTAAGTGATGCTCCTATGAGAAGGAGGGTAGCTGCTGCTGGAGGGCAGAACGAGAGAGCTTGGCAGAGCTAGGCTATTACTCAACATACTGTTTTCTCCCATTTCAGACAGAGATAAAGATTAATGAAGCCTAAGGGAGCTCAGGTTTCTCAGGACACCAACAGTGCCTTGGAGGGAACTGGCAACCACAGGACAGAGAACCCAGGAGAGCCAGGACCTGAACCTTGGGCTCCCTTCTTCTCTCCTTCTGCAGAGTTCCTGGAGAGAATCCAAGGGTACTGAGTCTCTGCTTTCCTGAGTATGTTTTTCATAGCACGAGGGGCTAGGAGATCCTTATTGCCGCCCCAGCAGGACACACACACACACACACAGACACACACACCATGCACATGTACACACACGCACACACACATACACACAAAGTGGCTTTTACAAAATGCACAACTGGAGAAGAAAAGAAAGCAGCAGGTTTCTTATAAAGATGGAGGTCGTGCCTGCTCATAGGTCAGTGAGGTGCTAAAAGAACTTCAGGTCCCCCAGCAGCCTAGAGCTGTGGTGGGAGGTCAGAGAAAGGGCTTGTCTAGCTCAGCAAAGGCCCATTACCCAGCTGAGAGTCATCCACGAGGGCCACGCCTGTGTGCAGCATTTCTGTTGGCCTTGTCAGTCTCAGCCTGTTGACTCCTCAGATGGTTCCTATTAGGGGCTGTTAGCACATCACAGCGATGTTTTTTGGCCTGTTGGGAATTCCTGTTTTAGTCGCCTGTTCTCCCTGAGGGCTGCAAAGGGATGACCGATGTGAGGAAACAAGGTAAGGTGCTAAAGGATTTCCAGATGACTTAGGTTTGCTTTTGGAGGCAGTTTGTGTGGGTTCCAAGACAAAATGGCGGCTGGGGATGATTTTCAAGTAAATGTATTTTGTGACCACTAATTGCTTCGGAGGGAAATCGGAAATGTGGGAGGCAGCTGTGCAGAGCATTAGGGTCCTGCCGTACCCCCACAGCTGGTTCAGTTCCTGGAGCACATGGGCTGGACACCCACCAATACCTGTACTTCTCTGACTGGTGGCTTTCTCTACCTGCAGAAGTGAGCCCAGCAGGGGCACCCGGGCCGAGGCTAGAAGTGCCACGGAATGAGTGCCATTTCTTAGGAGTGACCCTCAACCAGTGACTGGAGCTGGAGCACACACCTCATTCCTTCTCCGTGAGCTTGGAGATGGGCATCTACTCTGGTTTCCAGTGGGATGAAAGTCCACACTCATAGCCGTAACCTTCCCTTTACTGGTGTCCTTCGTGTTGCTCTTTTACTTCCTCACTTGCCTCAGGGTGTTTCCGGGGATTGCACAAATACACTCTTTGCACTGAATCCTTATCTCAAGCTCTGCTTCTGGGGGAACCACCGTGACCAACTTGTTCCGATTTTCCCGGGATTGTTCCAGTTTTAAAAGTTAAAGTCCCACATCCTGAGACTGCCCCGCACCTCAGTCCCAGGCAGACAGGGACGATGGGTCACCCGAGGAGGGATCCCAAACCAAGACAGATGTGAGCACACGGAGCAAGGCAGACAGACCACTGAACCACCAGTTTGAAAGCCAGGTATCGGTTTTGGAGAACAAAAGAGCAGACACAGTATCATTTGGTCATATCATCAGGTTCATTAGTTTTTATGAGCTAAAGACCTCTAAGAGAACAGTAGCCACCAATGACAAATAAGCCATTCCTTTGAAAACAGACATGGTCCTACAGCCCCAGGGCGTGGTTTGCTAATTGTTGGTGGATTGAAGACGGCTGACAGTCAGGACTCCCACAGCATCCACGTGACTGGCTACTGAAAAACGGCAGCGGGTGTTCTAAGACGTGTCACAGGCACAGAAGGGGACATTACAGGTGAGCAGGCAAGGGAACAGGGCAGCACGTTGTAGGCACTTAAGGCTCCGAGGGGGACAAGCACCGGCCATGCCACTTGAGCCAGAGCCACCTGGGCAAATAGCAAAACTACACGGCGTGTGTCACCACATTTGACCACATTGAGGCAAGGCGCTTTGCCTTGGGAAGCGGCGGTAAGCTCAAGGCAGCTGGCTCTGAGCCAAGGAGGTTTGCAGCATGAACAGGAGGAATCCCACTTTGTCAGGTGATCTGGGAGGCGGTTCAGAGGTCAAAGTCAACAGGCTGAGGGCCCGGAGAACGCGTGGGTCAGGGAGCTTCATTGTAGGGGGCTGGGAGCCTGGCTGGGAGATGCTGCCAAGCTCCTGACCTTAGGACATATTTCTGCAGATCAGATTATCCAGCTGCAAAATGCCACATACGCCCCTGCCCTGGTTATTTTTATACTGGCACTGCGGAGCCTGCTCCAGCTGAGGAATGCGCCCATTTGGTGGGGGGAACTGATTTCCCTAGTCCCTGCTAGATTGGTGGGAAAAAAAAAAATCTCCCAAATGCCACGGCAGTGAACACACAGCCCATTCCTGGGGTAGCAATGCCTTTCTCTTTCCCTTTCCAGGGCACTAGGATGCAGAATGCATTTGAGTTTGGGGACCACTTGGGAGAGGTTCCAATACGCAAGTAGTGAATAGCAGCATTTGGACCCTGCAATAGCAGGTGCTTCTCACGGGTTCCAGTGGGGCTGGTGAATGGGGTGGCCAGTCGCCAGGCGGAGGCTGCACACAGATCAGGGGAGACTCCTTTTCTCACTTCCTTTCATTGGG